TGTTAACTTTTCATACTAAACATTAGTGGTCTAAAATGATTAAGCCTCTCTTCCTCCTGTAGAATCCTAGAATTACAGCGGTTCACTTTATACAGGTTACACTTGCACTGTTGCATTTGTGCACATGAGGTAAACATTTATGGAGATTTTTAAATTCCTGAGTCCTTAAGGGAGCTACCTGAAAGGGGGTGGCGAGCTACTGGTGGCACCTAAACTACATGTTGGAGAACCCTGCTGTTCAGTATCCCTGAAAAGATTCATAGATCAAATAGATCTGGAATGACCAAAAGTGAATCATTCAGGATCATGTGTTAAATTCTTGAATTCTTTGGGGAGCTACCTGACAGGGGGTGGCAAGCTACTGGTAGCTGTAGATTGAAGAAGGAGCAGACAAACTGAGTGCTGTTATCATGAATAATGTTTGAGGAAGAAGCAGATTTGTGCTAACTCAAACATAATCAGAATCATTTTTATTGCCACGTAAGTAACAGGAAGTCACAGACATGGAAATTGCTTTGGCTCAGTGCAGCAGTCAGAAAGAGAGGTAAGGGTAGAGAAGGCATAATAAAAAATAAAAAAACAGGCAACATGAGTGAGAGTTAAGCATATAGCAATATTGACAATATCGCTGTAACAAAAAATCTTCAATAGCGTTGTCGTAGTGATACAGTTTTAAAACACCAAGAAAGCAAAAACAGGCTGCTGCAGAACAGAGCAATGTAAACTACATCGCCCATGATCCAGTGAAGTAAAACCACATTCACTATCAAACAACTTTTAAGTCAAATGATTGGAAGCATTTTAGTTTTACCGTAAGAAATGACACTACAGGAGAGACTGTAGTGAGAGGACTGTCAACACAGTGCGACAGAGGAAACACAAAGTTTACAGAACATCACAACAATAATTCCTGTCACACAAAACATTTCTGTGACTAAGGCCCCGACTCCACCGGGCGCATGGAATAATATATTTACCACATTATTAAACATGTATTGATATATGCTGTAGTCCTTGGTTATAAGTATTTGTTAATGACAATGATTATTGTATTAATTTAAATAATTGTTTCCTGATCGTACATCTACCATTTATTTTTTGCGTAATGTTAATACGCTAAACTTTACATACACCTCGCTCTTTTTTCTCTCTCTGTCCCGTCTACCTGCGAGGTGCTCTCTCCTCAGCGCACACACACCTTGCCCACAGAGCTGCACTTATGAGAGACAGATCTCACAACAACACTGGATATGTTAGAGTTCTTTTCTCTTTTCTCTCTCCCCTTTTTCAAATTGCTTTCAATAAGTTTTGCCTCATCCATCGCGACGTCCTCAATGCTTCAATATGCCGTGCTTTGCATAGATCATAGCCACAGCTCATACAAATCACACACTGCTTCTTCTATGTAAAACTATAGCGGCTGCCTGTTGCCTAAAGCCGCGGAGAGGCGAGTTGGGTCTGATAAGTGTATGACGCGCTAAATAAGTATAGAAAACAAACGAAGAGGCTGGATCTTAATAAACGCTGCGGTCACAGGCCCAAACACACATTCACGCACACACCTCCCACCACACACACACACACACACACACACACACACAGGCGCTCTCACGCACACGCCCACGCTCACGCACACATGCACGCCGACAACACATGACTCCTCCATCAGCCAAACAGTCATTTATTCACACAATGCCCAAACGTGTCTCCTACAAAAACAAAGCAAGCTGATAAATGCACTTGCGCGCTGCTGCAGCCGGTTTGACCACTAGTCCGTTTTACAGACGTCCGACGGACAGCAGCCAACGCGCGTCAACGGAGACGCGCCCGGTGTTATTGGTGTTCCTGACTTGACGTTAAGAAATCAGCGTCTCTGTGAAAAGATTATAACGATCAAAATATATGTCTATTTGTTTGCATTTTTTCTATTTCATCTTAAATGAGTATCAAGTTTGGCGTTTTAGAATAGCTATTATCCTGTCCAATGAATGCTCCTGGACTGAAACTGTGCATGAAAATGTAAAATCAAATGAGGGTGTTTGCCAGATACTTTACCCGGCACTAACCCGGCTGAACTCTGCTGACGCCGCTGTTTGTGTGCGGCCCCCACTTCTCTTCCATCTCTTCCTCCTCCTCCTTCTCCTCTCTTCCGTTGCCTCCCACCACTCCACTCTCCTCCAGGATGGGACTTAACCTTCCAGCCCGCGGCTTAATGACTGTCTGTGGGGCGAAGCAGCTGCTAACACCTGGACCACACACACCCAAGTACTGTCAGCCCAATCACCACAAATAATGGACTCGTTTCAGATCCTCGGCCAAAAGGCAGTGTGTGTATTTGAGAGCTGGAGTTTGGAGATGAAATAATTACAAAAGATCAGGTCATCAGTCCCTCTCTATTCTGTATCATTATGGAAGACTTTGTAACATTGCACGGAAATACCACCTTATTCAAAATTTATATAACCTATTATGCTATTTACAGCACGCATACATGAACAAAAAAAAGTTAATGTTTTCAAGGTGTTTTATCCATTAGATTCTCACCCTATCCTACTTTTCAAACATTCCCAAAACATTGAATGTAAGTTGTCTCAAAAATGAAAAGAATGCATGGTACTTTTTATACAAGTTGCCATCAGAGGTTTCACTATGTTCCGATGTGAAAACGCATTTTTCAGCTACATTCAGTTCAACTGGCAAAAGCAGAAATATTTTAGAAATCTCATTTGCTATAAAACTCCTTTGTCTGGGAACGTACCACCAGTCCCACTGCATTCATGAGCTTTTATCTCAGAAGTCTGAGGAAAAGATTCAATTCAATTCGATTACATTTGTATTTGTAAAGCCCTAACTCACAACTATGAGGACTTTACAAAGTCCATAAATGTTAATAAATGTCCTTAAATGTCCACAAATGTCCCGGATGATCACGGTCCGTAGACCCTCCTGCATCGGCTGGGAACAACTAAAAAACTCAGAAGGAAAAAGTGAGAAAGCTCAGGGTGGCCCACTTTGAGAGAGGGATCCAAACAGCCCACGAGTCCAGGCGCTGAAAATGCTTTTTTACAGTGTTTCATGCAAATTAGCAATAGATTTGTTGTTGTTTACCTTCTCAAACTTTTCATGCTTTTTGTTTTCAAATGGCATACTGCACATTAATTACTCATATCGTTTGTACAATACTGCACAAATGATATGAGTAATCAAACGCAAACCTATAAATACAAACCTCACTGGGGCGGAAGAGGCTCAGGTGGTAGAGTGTGCCTCCTGCTGAAGGTTGGTGGTTCAAATCCTGCCCTGACATAAACATCTTTGGTTGAGCTGTCAGAGCGCCTGATCTGCAGGTGTGAATGCTTCCCTGTGTCCTTGGGCAAGACGATTAAGAGGTGTGTGAACGTGTGCGCGAGTGGGTGAACGGTGCATTCATGTGAGGCGCTTTGAGGCCTTGAACGGTAGAAAAGTGCAACATAAATGTGAGCACTTACCATGTTTGGGTTTAATCCCTCCAACCTTTATGTTCTAATCACATGACAGATCATGGAGACTTATCCAACGATGCCAGGGAATCTATTTTGGGTTATATTTGATATTTTAAGGTACAACAACCTTTTTGAAAATGAAGTCAGTAACCGATACAAAATACAATAAAATGCAATAAATACGAAGCATTCCATTGCATTCAGACAGATTTCACACCACAGAAAAAGCAGGGGAAGCGGTTGGCTGTCCAATTAAAACAATGAAGAAGTGGTTTGCCATCTTTGCAGTGTTCAAAACACTGCTTTAGAGCTCGCTTCAAAAAACGGCTGTTGGCCCAATAGTAAGTTCCAACAGCATGTTGAAAACAGCACGTTGAAACGCATTGGCAAATTAAAACCAGAATTATCTGCATCCGAGTGCCTCTGACTTATTCTCTAAGTTATCTTTTTTACTCCACCGGAAGAGCACCGGCCCCTAACGACTTTTTGAGCCCCTGAGCACTTCTAGCCTCTCCTTCTAATCAATAAGTTCCACTTGCTTGTCAATGCATTGTGTTGATTTTTTTGAGCCAGGTCAGTTTAGTTGCTGTGGAATTTCAGAGTTTGCTAAAACTGCTAACATTTTGTCCCAACTGATTCGACAGGGTTACATAACGTTCACCACAAGGGTGTGTGATCCAGGCACGTATGGTCGCGGCATGACTTGCACTACACGGCACATCCTGCAGGGGGCGCTGAATGCACTTTTTCCAAATTTCCTGTGGAGGGACCACAGGAAATGAATGCAGTCCATTGTATGCAGTATATGATTGATATATGAAGTGCATTCTATAGTTTAGGGGCCACAGACTCAACTCAATCAAATTAGTACATCGTTGTATTCCAGAGTCATTTGCACATTTAAATATTCAATGATTGTTAAACATTGTTCCACTTTGTCAGAACTATATCGTGGTTCCCTCGACACCTGAGTGCGGCATCGTGAAATGTATCCTTTTTTTACAGGCACTGCTCACTGCACATGACAAACTAATACTTTTGTAACATGCAAAATAAAACAAGAAAAAATAACTAATAATACATAGTACAGACGGCAGATGTTTTCATCCCACAACCATTCATGCTTATTTTCCAACTGGGAAAAGCATTCTCTCGAGGACCCCAGAAACGCAGCTTATATCTGCAGAACAGGATCGCCTCAGACTACTCTGTTCAGGAAATGCTGTTATGTGGATACTCTTCCCCTTATTCATTATGTATGAGCGTAAATGCTACAAAGTCGGCGTGGCAAAGACATCCACGGCGTATACCTTTGCCTTTGCAGCTCGGTGCTATGAGAGAATGGAAAGTTTATCATTACACATTGCACCCTCACCCAGCTTCCTTGTAAATGCTATAAAAAGGAACAAAAAAGTGATGTAGCTTGGATTTGGCTGGCAGTGACCCTGTTGTAACACTTCTTATGCACACAAAACTCCCTAGTCTCCCGCAAATTCTCTATATTTTTGCCTGTGTAAGGATTGCGAGGCGTGAGAGGGACTCCCATTGGCATTCTTCAACAGCCTCATCCCTCGCTTGTGTTCAGAGCCGTCTGTAGATCAGCCAGACTAAAAAAGACGCTCCCAAGCTTTCGACGCAACAGGTAAGCCGCCTTCTCTCTCTCATGCAAATTCACACTATTCAAAGATTCCTCCACTTTTTTGAAAGCCAGGCAGAATTTTTTTCTGTCTCGCAGCACCCCACAGGCAAGCAGTAGTACTCAAGTATGATGGGAGAAAAATGTGGATTGGAATAAAATACACCAGGGAAACATGTGTGATGAAGTTGTAAAGGCTAACGGCAAATTGGAGTTCTTTGGTCAAGACTAAAGTTGAGCCTCTTGTTGCAGGTGTTTTGTGAGGCAATTTTACAAGATGGATCCTCCTACACTGTAAAAAGTGACAAAAAATAAGTTTACATTCAAATTTGGCAACATCTATCTTAATTCAGGCGCACTTTGAGCACAATTATCTTTTAACCCTGGTATATTTTTGAAAATATACCAGAAATGTCTTTCTTGTTAGAGTGAATTTCTGCTGTGTTATTTTAACCCTTTGATGTTCACACCTTGAAGAAAGCAATGCATTTATTTTTTTGATTTTCTGAGACGCAGGAGCACTAACAACACAAATAATGTTTTGTTTTTGTTTTTTAACCCCTATTCTCTTGGGGTTAAAATGGTTGAGATGCAGTTTGATGGTAAAAGTGTCTAAAACCAAGTGAGATGCAACCAAAGAGGTAGATTTCAGTTCCAAGTTTCAAGTAAATATTGTGACTCAAAAAGTGATCCACCAAATGGTTGAGGAAACCATTAAAGGGTTAAAATGTCTGGAATATTAGACTCATTACATTTGCATCATATACACAATTCTGCCAGAGGAGGACTCACCAGCAGCGTCAGTTCCGCTGCAAAAGTCTGAAGTCCTTAAGAAAAACTAGGGAATGCACTCGTTCTTATCTCCTACCAACTCCAAAATAGTTGACCTTCCATTGAGGTCCCACAAACCATTAGCAGCTATACAGACTCGGAAGGACAAGAAAGGAAGTATTTTTTCAGCAATTTTCTGACAGATTGTTTGAGTTTGATTGTCAAAGGTCTTTGGGTTTGGGCTTTTACAGCTATAAATATGCAATAAAAGGATCTAAACTTTTGACCAAACTGATGCGGTTCTGGCGGTTCTATAAATGTAATGTTCTCGATATGACGTGTTCACCTTAAGTACGCCTTTACTGACAAAACATGTGATTGTTAATGTATAACCTTTTATAAGCTCAAGAGATTATTCCTTGGAAGAATGTTAGACTTGAAGGAGTTTGTGGTTTTGTCTCTTTTCTAAGAATAGAGCCTGTATTTTCTTTACAGCTCGTGGCTGTACTGTATGAACAAGTGGCTTATGTGGAAGCGTAGAGCAGAATGGTTGGGTGAGGGTGATGTCCTTGTATGAAAACAGCCAGCCTTGTGCAGCAAATCTCTCTTCATATTGTTCCATCTGCATTTGTAAAATCACAGATAGAAACAGGTGGAAGTGAGCTCAGATGTAATGTACAATAAGTGGACGAACAATGATCAAGGGGGGCTGATGTAGAGTGAGGTGGCAAAGTGGTGCAGTCCTGGATTCGACTCCATCTCCTGAACTTTTTGTTTGGAGTTTGCATGTTCTCACCATCACTGTGTAGGTTTCTGCATTTCTGGGTGCTTCAGTTTCCCCTACCACTAAAAACACTGTGGTCTGGCATGCGCTTCCTGCATGGCAACTCCACTCCCATGTGTGAAGTGACAATTGTAAAGCGCTTTGTGAGTCTGGTCTGGGAAAGGCGCTATATAAATAAAGATGACTTACTTACTTACGATGGGGTGACCTACGTGCTGTAACAGGGGTATATGCAAACTAACGTGTTGCTAGGGCAAGCTGGAGTTTACCTCATGAATGAAGGTTTGGTTAATCCTTATACGGCTCCAAGATAATATCAAAATGCAAACACCAGAATCATAATAAACAGCTTATCAAGCCCAAAATGATGAGTGCGACCCAAACAGTGACTGAGCGCGAGGAGTTTTCATTGTTAGTGTCAAGAAGAGACAGAGGTAGCAGGAGAAAAACTTCATCCATGAGCTTTTCCTAATTGGGGTTCAATGAGCTAGAGGGTTAGCATTGCTCATACAGTCTATGGTAAGAAATAAACGACTGAGATTGAAGATGTTTTGAAATAGATTTGTGTCGCAAAGTTATCTATATTATACAATCCATGTCAATCGTTCTTCGGGGGAAAAACAGTTTGTTGGTTTTCAAATGCATGTATTTTTTGCGTCTGTTACATCTTTACATCATCAAGTGAAAAAGAGAAGACCACCCTCACAGCCAATCAGCTCTCAGCCCTAAGAGTCAAGTAGTGACTCACAGGGCCCTTTCTTAAGTATGCAAAAGATAGTTTTTTCAATAGGATGAATGCAGACTTTCTGTTGGGACAATAGGAAAATGCAGGCAACCCATCTTTTTTATTTTTATTTATTCATTATCAAAACAGGCACTATGAAAGCAAACCTCTGAACCCCCAACAGTTAATTATTACCTACAGAAAAATGGCAAGTACTTTTCGGCTTTGACCAAGAAAATGTACAAAAGATAAATATAGAATTCCAAACAAACATTCTTTATGCATCAGTTATTGAAAGATCAATCGATTGGTATTTATCATAACGGTTCAGAGTGTGTAGTGTACTGTATAGAGTTTCTCTCCCACAAAGATGCACTCACACACATTACGGCAGCTTTAAGCTCTTTGTACTCTATACCCTATGTGCACACAATTTACACACCAAGCAACTATAAAGGAAAAAACAAGGACAATAAGTAAAAAGGGCAGTGTTTGTGTTTATCTCTGTGTGCATTCAAAGACACGAGATAAAATAATGATGGGCATTCTAACCTCAGGCAAAAATAAATTTCCATTAAGCAAAGAAGGAAATAATTGCCCTCATGCGCTCAAAGATGCTCGGCAACACAAATGTTTTGGGAAGCAGAGGAAATAATTGAGAGCGGGCTAATTCCTATCAAAGCCTGTTGAAGTGCAACTAATCGACTGAGGGAAAGATGCGTCAAAAAGCTGTTCCCCGCGATTCATTTGGTCTCTTCAGATGAGAAAATGTTTCGTTTTCAATTAACAAAATCATTATTATTGGTTTCGCTTCTGTTACTGATGATGTGAAGTGATTACTATCCACATGCGGGCTCTCCAAGTTGAGAAATGCGGTGTATCATTTTTTAAAATTATTATTATGCATTAAAAGATGATACAAGCAATTTTATAAAACATATATAACAATGGGTTAGATGGGTGCATAGACATTGGACTGACTGAGTGTTGTATGGTGAATTTGAACATAAATAAGCACGAACCAATTTCCTCATGTGTTTGTGACTGTTTGGGTGACTGGCGTTCCAAAACAGTGGCCAATGCAAACTAACATGATGCTAACACAAGCTGGAGTTTCCCCTAGATATGAAGGTGTCTGATTGGTCAAACCATATATGGCTCTTATATGGATTTAGAAAGACAACAGACAGTCTCACAATAAAAACATCAGGATCACAGAGAGCTCTCAACCACAGATTTGTTTCATCCTAAAATGGTGAGTGTGACACAAACTGAGCTAGAGGACTATTGTCCATGAGCGCTTTCCTATTGGGCTTCATTGAGCTAGAGGGTTAGCATTGTCCTTTATATACAATCTTCTACAGTCTATAGTTTAAAGGCCTGTCTCAATTTTTCAGGATGACAGATAGTATGCATTAATCCATTTTCTCAACATTACAACTATGTGACTTGTCCATCCAGTTTACAGAATTGTCTTGTGTCTCTGCAAAAGTCTGTCTGGGGTGTGTCCATCATACTCACTTCAGTCCAAGGTGTGATCCCACTCATCATTTATAACATTTATACCATAAATATAGTCACTAGACTATAGTGAAAACTGGAAACCACAGACATGTTTCAAGGGAAGAGCCAACCATTGTTTTTCATTACACGAGAATCTGCATTCTAAAATATAAATACATAAAGAAGAAGATAAAGATGAAAAAGTTGTGTTGGTGCTTTATGTTTACAGAGGCTGGAACGTGGACATGTGCTCCATCCAGATTGCAGCGCTCATATCACAGATGCTTCTGTGGACGTGTGGTAAGAATACACTCTTCATCCAAAAACTCACTTCTGTATTTCCCGTACGTCTGTCTTTGTTCCCCATTTATATGGAACTGAAGGGTAGTTCAGGTAGCCCTGAAAAGACTTAAATCTGACTCAAAACCCTCTCACTCAGCTAAACCCGTGTTTTCTACATACAACTTATAAAACATACAACTGTCATAACTGTCCATTATTCTGTGCTAGTACATTTTATTACATTTCTAATCTGTATTCAACCTGTTCAAACTGTATTGAAGATTAAGAGATTAATAGATCCATTATTTGTTCCCCTGTGTGGAACTTTCAGTGTTGCAGAACTGTAGTAATGAGGAACACACAGTAAACATTAAGTATACCACAACATAAAAACTCCAAAATATATAATACAATCTCTATCTTTTTATAAAGCATTCATACAGACACTGTAAATTAGGGCTGGCCTATATAAACAAAATCTCAGATGTTTTCACACCAAATCCTATTTTCTATTTAGAAACAAACTACAACTGACTGCATTTTACTTTATGCAGTTTAATCTAAATCCCCATGGAGCATAAGTGTAACAGGTAATAAGCCTTAAAACATGCGTGTAACCGAGATGGCGCTGCCATTGTAAACTGTGAAAATGTAGCTTATCAGTTTCCTAATAACTTCACAATGACAAAATGCACCTTCAAAATATGCACAAAATATGCACAAACGAGGGCCATAGCAAATATATCAATCGTATTAAATACTTGCATTACTTACATGAAATATCACATTTCTAAAACTAATGATTACTCAAAATACAAACGTTATAACATAGAAAGTCTGTTGTACAACGCTGTTGTACAACGCTCGGCCCAGCTGGTGGCGCTAATACTAACTTCAGTGACTGCGTTGTGCGAGTTAAAGATGCACTAACTGACTTTATTTTTGTATTCATTACAAAAGTGCTATCCATGTCCATGCAGTGCATTTGGTTATACGTCCTTTTGAAGAAAAAGTAGCGCAGGTTTGTGCTGGCGTGACATTATATTTTAGATCGAGTTTTGATGAAACAAGGAAGAGAATGTTTTTCGGTACCAGATTGTGACCAATCACAGCGGACCACTAGCCCCCACTTTCGTGAGAAATCTACAGGTCCGTTAGCACAGACAGCTGAGTTAGCACAACAAGCGGCGGAGCTAACCTGAAGCTTCCCGTGTTTTCGTCACCGGTTACTGCTTACTCAGCGAAACAGCCATCCAAAAGAAAGTCCCGTTCCTCCACGCTTCCCGGTTCTATCAGTCTATGGTCACGCCATCCACGTGCAAATGTACGATACATGATTCTATCCATATTGGGAGACACTAGCTCCGTCAACAACAGTGGGTGTGCGGTAGTGGGGGGCGATAGCTTCGTGGGTACGGGTAGGGGAGCAAAAAGAGCGAGGCCAGCGAGTCCGCTGCTTCGAAACCCAAAGTCAGTTAGTGCAGCTTTAAGTTTCCTGTTTACATTCTGCTACTGTAGCTAACACTGTAGCTAACAGATAGAGCAGGGAACACGTTGTTTGTAGAGCAATGTGTGAGACGTGTCTTTCCCCAAAGTGCAGTGGCTCAGTTTGAAGTGTCAATGCAACAGCACCAACTGTGAGAGCGAACGTCAGGACTGGACAGGGAGACTGTTAGCATTAGCATTAGGTTAGCTTTCAAAATGACTGCTCAACACCCGCGGTTAACGTGTTAGCACTGTAGCTCTGCGCTGGAGAAAAAAACCCGTCAATTTCAAGTTAATAATTAAAAACGATTTATCGCCCAGCCCTACTGTAAATATAAGGATGGATATTGTCTTGGCTATAAATGTTGTCGTGTTATCGTGTTGATTGTATACACTTGTCCATATCAATTAATAAAAACGCAAACTGCTTTACAGTCCCAAAAAAAAAAAAAAAAAAAATTCCACGTGCCCAATAACCCAACCTCTAAATAGAATTCAGCAAAAACAGCAGAGCTCCCAAAGCTGAGGCATAGCACTGGACAAAAGACAATAGAGAACTGGAAAAACGCTATAGGCGAAAAGCAGGTGAGGATCGCACTAAAACCTAGGGAAACCAAGAGACTCCCGGAAAAATTTCCCTGTTGATATATTTATAGAGCAACGTCATGAAGTATAGACCCAGTTATGTGTTAGTTGAGCCAAAACTATTAAAGAAAAAAAACAATACAAAGTGGTTCTTGTGTTGGCTGCATGGTTGGATCCCGTGTGCAGTGTCCCGGTGCCGTCAGTCCTTTCCCATCGAGTCTGTAAACTACTTGAGTTTCTCAGTATTAGAACGGTCTCTGTGGACTGTGGAGCATTCATTTATGTAAACTGTATGCTAATGCACTCCACTGTGCTTGTTTGTATGCATTCTCAGTAATAGCCAATCCTGCCCTTCATATTTGACGTGAGGTGACTGGTTCAGCCTTGATCCGCGAGCTGTGCCTCTCATTCATGTTGTCAGACGCAGCAAAGCGTGCTCTTCACAAACAACTTGGTCATTGCTTCAATGAAGGTCAAGAATCAAACAGGCACCTCCTCTGTGGGGCATCGCTTCAACTAAAATCATATTCACACATTACCCGCAAATTGACTGTGCGCCTGCATTTGTTTTGCCAATATGAATGTATTCATAAATATGTGCGTGTTAAAAAGGCTCTCCCCCAGTGCCGCAGCTGGAGGCAGAGACAGTAGGTGGTCTGCTTTAAGATCACCTTTAATGTGTGGAGAGAGAGTTTGAGGAGAAAATGTTCCAATGCAAGCAGCGATTAAACCAGACCTGGGACACATGAGCCTAATGCTGTTTCTGCGTGGCCCCCAGACCTGTCCGAGCGGTCAACCTGCACAGTCATAGTCTGTTTGTCTGTTTAAAGGAAGTCAATGCCCAACAAAGGCAACTGTATTTTATTGTAACTTAATTAGTGGTCGCCAAGATATTTTATAAGTCATTATAAAGCTACATTTAAAGCTAGATTTAGAAAGCTTTTTCTAAAGAATTATCAACCCAAAATGTTGTTAATAATATTTTTAATTGGGGAACCACACAAAAACCAAATACTGAAATATTCAATATAATAATAACTTATGAAAATACCTTCATAATGTAAAAAAGGCTGAAGCAAAACAAACATTCCAAAAAAAGACAAGGTCATGGTTCCATGCTTCCCTTTCCTGATTTTGTAAACAAAAAATTTTCTTTTAGTATTCAATTGTATAAATAAATTAGTTTTCACAGAAAATAGAAAATATGTTTTGCTAAATTCAACAGTTAACCATGAAACCCTGAAAACAAATCAGCCCTTAACAGACCATGCCCAACACCCTGCTTCTTGGATGAGACTATAATAATTCTCTCCCTAAGCAAGTAGAGACTGTATGAACCCCAGAAATGTTTCAGAGCATCTATGTAAAACAAACATAACGAACAGTTACATGACTTTTGTTTTTCGGATTATAAGTCCCTCTGAAGTATGAGTCGCACCAGCCGAAAATACATGATAAAGAAGGAAAAAAACATATAGAATTTGCAGAATTTGATATTTTACGGTAAATAAAAAATAAAATAAAAATTGTGTGAAGCCCGGTTACTGTTTTAAAGCATCCTGGATTCAGGAGATGCAATAACTGTGACACAAACGGTTGCCAAGCTGGGGTTTAATTTTCAATCTAAGTCAGTAGAAATCTTTGCCAAGAGCACTTCTCTATTGGGCCTCATTGAGCAGGAGGGCTAGCATTGTCCAGCGGTATACACTGAATGGGTAGGACCAGGCGATATAGAATATGATCAAGTTTTTTCTCCTAAGATAGATCTTTTTTTTTAAATAGCTTACTTGTTTTTCTTGATGAAATTCAAAATTGTGCACAGGCAAAGCAAACCTTGATAAATGAACATGCGTGGTTCGTCTCTGGATCACCTCTTTCTGCAAATTAGCTCCGTGATTGGTGTCTCTCATGTATAATAATCAAGATTGAGAAAACTTGAGTTATTCCATTTTTGTCACATCCCTATATTACTGATTCAGGTGATAAAACATATACATTCTTTTAAAAGTGAAATACGTTTGCACTCAAAGCACTGATAATACTTTTAATGCATACCTGAATGTCACCTTAGATTGAGTAAAAGAGGACGACAACACAACAAGCAACAGGGACTGGTAATCATTAGTCTGCGGTTCGTCAACAGCAAAGAAAAAACACAACAATGAGTGAAGTCTGCGATCAAACGAGCTAAACTCCTCATCCAATCCAGGCTCCACACGGGTGAGGCTCATTAAAGCTGCTGTAATTGCATTATTGACTCGTTCTCAGGGCCAAATGGTGTCACTTTTCATCAATAATACATATCTGTGGAGGAATCATGAGAACAAACATAATGCACAATCTCTCGCACTGGACGGTATAGGGCTGATTGAAGATGAATCAAAAGCATAACAATTTTACTAGTTGAAATTGACTAAACTTTGGGCCTCGGTCACATATTTTATTTCAGCTTTTGCAAACAATTACACATTTTCTCTTTATATTAAGGCGTAATGTTGGTGGTTTTATTCGTTCGCAACATTTTACTTCCACAAGACTATTTATGTTGGTTAAATTGATGTGTTATCTCTGAAACAAAAACAAAAAAAGGGTAATCTATAGCTTTAACTAGTGCATTTACATCCGACCTGCACTTTAACGAGGAGGCCTTTTCCACATGGTCTGGGAGTGTCCAGGGGTCGCTCGGTTTTGGAAGATTGTGGCCAGTGATATTCTCCTCCTTGTCGTGTCTGGTGCCCTGCTTTCCCTTGGTTCTTACTTGCAAATGCAAATGTGTAATTTATTTATCCCCGTAGGAAACGTCCTCTGCTATGCACTTTGACCCGGCACGGTGGCGGCACGGTGGCTGAGTGGATAGCACTCTCGTCTCTCAGCAAGAAGGTCCTGGGTTTGAATCCCGGTCGGACCAGGGCCTTTCTGAGTGGAGTTTTACATGCACATGCAATAGT